AAAAAAAAAAAGAAAAACATGGTCTCATCATAGGTCTCGTCAATTGTATATTTTGTTTTAAAAACAATAGATGAAAAAAGTCAGGGGAACGCGTACCTTTAAAACTGTCATCTCAGAAATTACTTTCATTTAGTATCTTAATAAAAATGCTAGAAACTTCTATAAAACCCTATTTTACTTTTCTCTCACAAACACACTGTAACATTTCACAATTACACAACAATATGAATCTTCAAATAAATATGAATCTCACAAAAAACCTTGACATGGACTGTAAAACGTCTAAAACTGTTTTTCCGAAACGTATTGTGAAAACCGCAAACCTTTCCTCTCATCTCTGGTATCCATTTTGGTTCTAGATGATTCATTTCTCTTGTCCTGTAACATGTTCAACCCTTACATTTGCAGTTTGTATTAAATGCTATGTTTGTTTTCTGCTAAGCATTTGGTCACAGATAAGTCTGGTTTTTGCTTTCGATGCCTAAAACCCATTCATAGGAATTTCAAGCAGAGAATGCACAGTGGAGGTGCTGCCAACCAGACAAAGAACAGCCAAGAAATTCACCATCTGACACAATAAAACACTGAAAGTCCTCTGGAGCGAGCTAGAAAGTCACAGGCAGCTGCAGAAGTGGAGGAAATAATGTTACCTTCGTATGTACAGTAAGTGCATTAATTTCATGATTATATGGCACTGAATTCTTGGTGTCTTTTTTTTTTTTTTAATATGACAGGCACTGATAAGTGTCCTCGGCTTAACACCTTAAAATTCTGCACGTGTGCTCTGATTGGATATTTATTTGATAGATTATTTATTTGAACTTTTTCACAATCAAGTGTTAAAACGTGTCAAAAAAGACAAAAGACGAATTTAATGATGATCCAAAGTGCACTATTCCATGATTAATGATTAATGCCCAATGACTGAGGTACTACAGTTCATTTTTTTTGCAGGCCTACCAGTACCAATGACATTCACCCTGGTTGATAAATTAAAAGTTCAGATATGATAAACCGTACCCAAGCTGTAAAGAGGACACTCATGCGTTGATGATAGATGCTGTGGTGAGCAATTCCCACACCCAAGTCATGCACCAAATGCATGCTTGGAAACCGGTTCAAAGCACTACAGGGACGTCTGTGACCC